CTGATTGAGGTTTTTTTCGCGATTTTATTCGTAGCGGTCCGTGGGCTGATATCTTTTTTCTCTCATCTGATGAATGCGCCTCTTATGTAACATCATGGATCCAGACAGGCAGAGTTGTTAACAAAGCCAAAAGTAGCTAGGCCAAGGCCAAGGCCACACGTTACAAGCCCAAGGCCAAGGAGAAGGTCAAGGCCAAGAATTTTAAGGTCAAGATTAAAAGTTTCAAGGCTAAGGCCTACGCAAACATTTTCAAGACCAAAGACTTCAATTTTTGCTTTGAGTTAAGGCAAGTTATTAACAAACCTGTAAGTAGCAAGTGCTGTGACAATAAAACCACATGTTGTAAAAATAGACCAAGATTATGCGCAGAATTCAATTCTAAAGCTTTTGATAATGATTGGCACATAACTAGCACATTTGGGCCAACGTATTTAAAAACTTTGCGAGCGTCGGCTATTTATCTGATGCAGATACAATGTTGACTCAATGTAAAGTATTTAGCAATAATGTTAATAAAAAGATTTATACCAACGTATTAAAAAACATCTTGCACAGTTATATCGGCCCAACGTATGCAAAAAAAAATTGCAAAAACTGATTGTTTTTGCAATTTTTTAATATTAAACTATTTGCAATAGTTTAATATTAATCCCACGTTGATTCAATGTACATGGATCAACGTTGATCTAATGTATATAATCCAACTTTGTTGTGCCAATGTAACCTGCAAGATTGTTCTAACATTTTACCAACATATCTGTGCTAGTTGGGCATGCTGGTCATCTCCATAAGCTTGCTTCATATGCTGGAAAAAATTTTGAGATAATCTAATTATTTCTTTTAAACTGCTTTAATAAATTTATCCTCAAAGATCAACATCCTTCTTCACTTTTTTATAATTTCAAGGTTCTATCATTTTCATTTCTATCATTTTTATCAGTATCTAGTCATTTGTTACTTCTTTCTCTTTTCAATTTCTTAGAACAGGAAGTCAATTTTAAATTTGATCTCACTTCTGTAACAGCTTAGAGCTTGCAGTGGCTTGTGAATTTAACCTCCAGAAAAAATTAGTTATTTACTGCAAATAACTATCGCAATATTGTCAACATACCTATATTAATGAATGGCAACCCTATCACAAATACGCCTTCTTTACGTCTTCTTGGATTATCATTTACTTCTGACCTTTCATAGAAACTATTTATACAATTGATAGAAAAGTTACAATCTGATAAGGTTTAATGTGCTCGCCATTTTCTTACTCTTGTTTCCATTTTCTACCCTTGCAAATATCTTATTTGTCCTTGTATGGATTACTATTGTCATATTCGGTTGGTTAATGTTAATGACGCTCTTTCTTTTCTAGACACGGTCCAAAACGCATTGTAAACATAGTTGGAACTGCTTTGTATTTGTATATATATTTCGTCAATAAACAAATAATTTTACAATGTACTTGTAAAAAATATATTTTATAAATTCTGACTGGAGCAAGTAGAAGAAAAGACAGTTTATCACCTTGCTTCTTAAGGTAGTGCATTAGTTTGCTTTACTTACAAGTTTAAATTCATAAAATGTAGAAGTATAAAATCAGTTCTTACATATTTAAGAGTCAAACATACATATACATTTTAGTAAATATATAACAAGATAAATAAATACATAACAAAACGAGTTAAAAATACAAAAAATGTTTTTATTGGTTAGACTTAACAAATGTTGTTTCACAGTTTTTTTAAAAGCTTTAATTATGGTTATAAATTCTATGTCATTATTTAGAATCGAGTTCCACAGACGTGGACCCCGACAAGTAATTAAGTAGTCCAATTTTTTAAGTGTTATTGACGGAATTTAAAAAGTGTTGGTAGAACGTCTTGATAATTATCTGTTATCAATTAAGGAGAAATGTGGCTGAAAATATGACGAAAACATTCTATTGTGAAGGTTAAACATGTAAAGTAGATTTTGATAAATATTTAGTTCGTATACATTTCAAGCATTAGTTTGTTTTAGTAAAGGCTTGGCGTATGCATATCTTTTTGCATTAAAAATTAACCGAGTCTCTTGCTTTTACTTGCTTTAAATTTTTTTTAAAGAAGACGACTGATTACTTGCCCATGCTATATTACAGTAACTAGTATAGCTATGGATAAATGAAAAATACAAACTTTTTAGCAACATATTATTCACAGGAAAAAAGTTCTATAAAATGTCTATAAACTTTTGCAACATATGGCCTATAGAAATTCTATAGAATTCTATTGAATTTCAATAGAACCTCTGTTAATTTCCATAGAATTTCTATAAAACATTTTTTTTTACTTTTTTTCTAAAAAAAAAAAAGTTTTTATGTAAATTTCTATAGAAATTAAAAGTAGTTCTATAGAAATTTTATAGAAATTCTATATAACTTTTTTTCCTGGGTTATTTTGAACATGATCCGCAAAGTTGAAGAGATTTTATTTTCTATTAATTTAATACGATTTTTTTAATTTAAATGTTCGTCAAATAATATGCCTAAAATTTTTATTGAATTGACTTTTTTTATTTTAATATTGTTTATAAATAAATCTGGAAGTTTAAGGGATAAGATATCAGTTTAGAGGGTTTTGTGAACAAAATGTATTTCGTTTTATCATTTAAGAAAAGTTTATTAGCTTTAAACCATTTGTTGAGATTTACTTGTTCAGTGTTAACAGTGGAAAAAACGAACTTTAAATTGATACCAGAAAAGAAAATATTGGTATCATCCGCAAAAAAAATAAATTTTAGGAATTCGGAGGATAAAAAGATATCATTTATATCTAAGAGAAATAGCAGAGGACCAGGTAACTGTGCTATGGTTACACATTGTTTACGATTCAGAAGATAAGACTAAAGCCATTTTAAATTCGAATTCAAAAATCTGTAGTTTTGCAATTTATAGAGAAGGATTTTATGATTGATAGTGTCAAATGGCTTCGATTGATCTACAAAAACTCCCATTGTATAGTTATTGTCATCAAAACCTTTTAAAATACTGTTAATCAATTTAAGTATTGCATGCTTAGTGCAATGACTTTTTCTAAATCCAAATTGTTTATGATATAAAATACTATTTTTAAATGGTAATTGTGTATTCTATTGAATATACAATTACCTTAAATTATTAATTTCAAATCTTCAAATCAAGCTCCACACGCTTTTAAAAACAGAAAAGTATTGAGATAAAAGGCCTGTTGTTTATTACTATTGAATAGTCGCCGTCTTTATAAATTGGAATTATTTTTGCAGACTTTAATTGATCAGGAAAGACTCCATTTTTTAAGGGAAGAATAAATATAATGAAAAGCGGAGATTCTATAATATCATAAACTGCTTTACAAACATTCGCACTAACATCATCAAGAACTGTGCATTTATTTGTTTAAAGCGTGTTAAAAGCTAAACGAAGCTCATCACTAGAAAGCTCTGAATCTTCAACTTCAAAATTTGATTTTTTCAAAAAAGACTTGAATAATTTGTTATTTGGAGAGATTTTATCAGCTAAATTTTTCCCAATGTTTATAAAAAAATTATTAAGTTTCTCAGCAATTTTTTTCTTATCAAAAATCTCTTCATTTTTCTCAGTTTGAAATTGGTTAGTGATGTTGTTAAGTCTAGTGTTTTTTTCCTAACTATTTCGTTTATTATAGTCCAAGTCTTATTAGGATTTTCTAACGCTTTATACTGTAAACTCGAATAGAAATTTTTTTTGATTGCTTTTTTATTTTTTCGAAATATTTCTTGTATTTTTTATATTTCGTTTTGTAATTAAAGGTTGGTTTTTTTAAAAAAAAAATTGCGTAAAGCTTTTGTTTTTTCTTTGATGACTTTAATAGTCCTTTTGTCATCTAGAGGTAAAACACATTTTTAGATTTTATAATTTTTTTCAATTTTTCGGGAAAGCTTTATTGTAGATGTTATATTAATTTATCCACCAAACTTAAGCCTCTCTCCCATTGTCGTAAAGTCTCTTTTCTAAAAATCTTTCTCTTTTTTAAAAATACTATCATGGTAGCTGCTCAAAGGAGCTATCATCTCTAGCTCCATCTACCAAACTCATTCTCGCTTCACTCATCATTCAACAAAGTTGCATCTTTTTAATGTATTTGTTCCTTCAAGACTCTAAAAACTTTCATTATCCTAGTTTTTTTCCCCGCACTTTAATCCTTTTGAACTTTCTCCCATCTTCATTTTTTCCTGACTCATACAATCAACAACTTTTCTCTGTCAACCGTTTGCTCGTGCTCTTTAACTTTATTCTTTGTTTTCTAGTCACTCCAAACTTAGTAGTGTTGCTTGCAGTCTTGTTAAGAGTGAATTAAATTTAAAAAAGACAAAAATTAAAAGTCTTGGTATGCAGACTTTTAGCAAATGAAAGTCTACATACCAAGATATAGGGATACTCATTTTATTATATGATTATAAAGATTAGAAACTGCAAAATAAATTTTTAAAAAATAGCTTGAATTCACCTGGATTAAAAAAAATACAATAAATTAAAAAAATAATAATAAAAAAATTTAAAAAAACCAAAAACTAAAAAATAATTATTAGATAAATGTTGTTTTTTTAAAACTCCGTGAGAGCACTCATTGGTTCTTTTATTTCTTCTTTTGAACCAAATTTTCAAAGCTATTTAGTCACAATACTTTATCGCAACTGCATTAATTTTTTTTTTTATTTTTTTAATTTGCAGTCCTTTCGATTACATTTAAAAAGAATAAAGAAAATTTAAAAAGAATTTTTTGTTGAAATAACCGTAACATTTTTAAGTCACAAATTAACCGGTTTATTAAACTGACTTGATCCCACCTGACTTTTTCCCCAAGGGATTTACTGTAAATGGGTAGGAAATAATTCAATCATGTTTCAAAGCATGGACTTAATTTAAAAACACGCAAAGCCTGATTTGACTGATTTTCAAAAAACAAAATATTTTGACATTTTCGCGCGCCGTTATTAAAAAGTTTTATAGCAACTAAGGAAACTAACGTGCTAAAATGGCCTCAAAATTATAACATAATCAAAAACGTTTCTCCAAAACGTAATTTTTAACAAACTTAATTTAAATTTGGATTATTAATCCAGTTTTCATTATTTCCAAAGAAATGTTTTTTAAAACCAAAAGTATTATAGTTTAATAATAATTTTTACATTATATGACAAAAAAAAATGTCAGATATACTTTGTAAATGGTTAAATGACGATGTCAAGTTGAGTAGACAAGTGTGTAAGTTTAAAATTTTGTTTTTAATTTAATCAAATCTATAAATAAATATATAACGCAAATCACATTCATAAAGTTAAAAAAAATAAAAAAAATTGAGAATTATAAAGTAACTTCTACTTTAATACTTGTGTAATAATACTCTTCAAACACACACACACACACACACGCACACACACACACACACACACACACACACACACACACACACACACACACACACACACACACACATATACACACAAACACACACTCACATAAAGTGCTGATTGTTCTTAAAGACCCTGAAAAAAAGTGTGCTAAAAAATGAAACAAATCTAAAAACATAATTTGGTTTGATTACCATTTTCGCTGATTCCCATTTTTGTCTAGTTACTCTGTTGTAATCTTTCCACTTCTTCGATATCATCTTTTTAAGATGGTGACTATACTGGTGCCACAAATTCTATAACTGGTTTGATGTACGTTAGATAGTATTCTAAAGATTTTTTACATCAATATAACTGAAAGTTTTTCTAATCATACAAATGATAGCATTAGCTTTTGCTTTGCAGATCTCCATATGGCTTTTCCATTTTAAATTGCTTGAAAAATGTACACCTAAATCTCTTCCTAGTTAAGTTTCTTTTATTTTAGATCACCAATTTTATATTCTGCCTTTCGATTATTTGAAACATAATGTATGACTAATAGCCATTTTTTTGACCATTCCATTCTGTTTTTTTTCCTCTTAACTTTTGCTAGTTTGACTAGTTATTCTTTGTGTGGCACTGTATAAAAAGCTTTTACAAAATCTAAATAAATAATACCATCTGGGTTACCATATACTGAAGCATTTGATACAAATTCTAACTTTTCAAGCAAATTTGTAGTGCAAGATTTTCCTCTGACAAAAATAATGATTTCTAGATTCTAAATTATTTGAATATAGACGGTTTTTTATTTTTTTATTTTATTATACTTTTTTTATAAGATTAAAATGTTATAAGAATAAAAATAAAAACAAAATTAAATGTGAAAGCAAATATAAAAGTTTAATGTAAAAAATTGATATAAAAATAATAATTGAATAATGTAATATTTACAAGCACAGCAGCAGAAACAGATTTTCAAATTGTTGCTTAACTTCAACAACCTTTGCAAGTTATCTTCAATTTAAAAGTTTTTTACAATTTGTTTAATTGGTTTACGAAAACAAAAATTTTCATTACAAATTTATATGCACTACTGTGGGTTTTAGGTTGATATAATATTAATGTACTCTGTTTGCTTTAATTTTAAAAATAGTTTGAAACATTCAGTTGTATGGTAAACAATACTGTCTGACAATTTTTGGTGTTTTTTTTTTTAAAATAAAGTAGATAGAGAGGGTGCTTTAATTAGCAGCACCCTCTCTATCTACTTTAATGAGCAGCCCTGGCGCAGTGGTAGCGCACTTGCCTCAGAAACGTAAGATCCATGGTTCAAACTCCACCTCTGGGTAAGTTTTGTGACATCGGTTGGGAAGGAAGTGTGAACTTCCTATTAAATGCTCTTCCGTGGTGCTCTGTGATAAGACTGTAAGGACTTCTTGGGGCACATTAATCAACTTAAAAAAAATTAAACATTTTTTAACTCAGTTATATTTCCATATAAATATCTCTATTTCCATATGAGGTATGCAAGTATTGCTTAAAGAAGGGGTTAAAATAAGTGTCGAACATCATTGCCCCTCAAACCATTTTTGAGACCTGCTGGATAAGGACAACAAATTCATTTTTTTTTGTAAAAATGAGCAATGGTTAGTTGTCCCCCTTAAACAAGTCTCAAAAACAGTTTTTTTTGACGCCTTACTAAGTGTAATCCCAATTAATTTAAATAGGTAACTTTTCTATTGTAAGCTAAATGATGTTTCTTGTCTTTAATTTAAGCTAAATGATGTTTCTTGTCTTCTCAATTTTAAAGTCTTAAAAATTTGATCAGCTTTTCTTATTTGAAATAAAATTTGTAAATATCAACTGAATTAATATACTTTTATGCACAAATGTAAAATCAACTCATCTCTTGTTACTTTTCATAATTTATATATCTTCATAAATAAAAAAAATTGATAAGGTACTTTATTAAAAAAAAAATCAATAGTACTGAAAAAATCATTTTTTTTTCTTGATTTTTGATTGCTATTTTTAAGGTCCTTTGAACTTAGAAGAATCTTTTGCTAATGGTTTTTTGATTGGGGAGTTACTTTCTCATTATGGGGTTCAGGTAAATAATTACAGTTATGACAAGTACACTAAGATTGAAGATTAACATAATGATAAATGCAACAACATAATGGTAAATGCAACCATGATGATGATGATGATGATGATGATGATGATGATGATGATGATGATGATGATGATGATGATGATGATGATGATGATGATGATGATGATGATGATGATGATGGTGATGATGATGATGATAATGATGATAATGATAATGATGATAATGATGATGATGATGATGATGATGATGATGATGATGATGATGATGATGATGACGATGATGATGATGATGATGATGATGATGATAATGATTATGTTTTATATGTTTTAGGAAAACTTCAAAGAATTTTCAAAGTCATTGTAAGTGTTTTATATTTTAAAATACATTTATGACTTATAGTTTATATATATATTAAAAACCAGGAAGAAAGTAATAAAAGAGGCAAATAAGAAGCACTTGCCTAACTTGTTGTTTGTTTTATTTAGCCATCACAGCAATAACATTAACTATAATTAGTTTCAATTAGTTAAAGTTAACTTTGCTTAAAAGGAGTTTATAATTAGAAAGTTACAAATTCAAGAACAAAAGTTTTTGACATAAATTATGTAAAGTTTTAAAACTATTCATTGTATCATAATGAAAGAAGTTAAAAGACAATATTAGATATTAGCACATGTTTAATTAGCTATCAAAAAATATATTTAGATTGTTGTTTGGAAAAAAAAGTTAAAAATTTTAAAGTTGATTATAACAATCCAATAATTTTTTATATAGTTTAATAAAAAATTATTACTGATATATACTATTATACATAAGGTTTATTCTAAACAATTTATTTTTTAAATATGTGAAAACTATTTGTATATATACTTATAAATATAAATATATATATTATGTATGGTATAAATATTATATTATATGCGGTAGTAGTGTAGTGAATAACAAATATATATATATATATATATATATATATAAATTGAAAATTTATATAGTATATATATATATATATTTTTTTTTATAATTTATATATTTTTATAATATATATATGTATATATATTTTTATAATATATATATATTTTTATTTATACCTGTCAATTCCTCTTGAAGAAGCAACTTAAGTACTCACAAGTTTATTGGAGGTGAGTGATAGTTTTAAAAAAGCGACAAAATTAGATATGAAAGAAATAAAAATTCTCATAGAACTATGTTTATACTGAACATACTTTTTATGGAACAATGAAATACATGAACTTGAAAATTCTGGTCCGATAGGTCTTTTGTTTATGGTAGTTTTAGCTGAATCTTTTCTTCAACATCTTGAAAATAGAGCACTTAATACAGCGCTGAAAACTAACTCCCTTATTGATATAAAGTCATTTTATAGATACCTAGATGACAGTCATGCTAGAGTTCCTAACATTGCCCAGGCTGATCAATTTAAGACAATACTTAATCAACAGCATCCAAAAATACAATATACCATCGAATTTGAAAATGACAAAAAAACACTAAATTTTCTAGACATATGCACAATAAATAACAAAAATGGTAAATATGAGTTTAAAATTCACAGAAAAAATGCAATTACTAACATTCAAGTTAAGACAACATCAAACCATGATCCACAAATTTTAAATGGAATATTTAAGGGTTTTGTACATAGAACATTTAATGTATGCAGTCAAAAACATTTAGAAAATGAACTGAAATTCCTTATTCAAGTATTTGCTGAAAATGGCTACAAACAGTCCAATCTAATAAAAATCATAAAAGAAATAAAACGAAAGTACAAAAAATCTCTAGTGACTACGAAAAACATTAACAACATCACCAGTACGCATCCAACGATTTCATTATCTTGGGTACCAAAATTGTCTCCCAAATTGCGTAAAGTGTTTAGGAAGGCAGGATATAAAACAATCTTCAAATCAAACTTAAACCTAGAGGCATTATTAACATCAAGAAATAAATCCAAACTACAAACGAACAGTCAACCAGGAGTCTACATTATTAAATGTCATTGTAGCAAAAAGTATATACGTGAAACAAAAATGCAAATAAGAACACGCATGCAACAACACAAAAACAGTACAATAAGAAATAAAACAGAACAATCTGCATTAGCCACACACATGAGTTATTGTACACAACAAATTAACTGGGACAGTTGCAAAACTCTAAAAGTTGATGCTAAAAAGTTTGATAGAAAAGTTTGTGAGACACTTGAAATACAGTACCACCAATGTGCCCCTTAACAAAATGGTATCAATTTAGATGAGGGACAATATGTGTCAACAAAATTTTGGACACCATTTTTAGCGCACTTACGTCTGAAAAAGGAGAAACCATTCCATTGTCATAAAATAAAACTGCCGTTTATTAAAAAATAACATATAAACAAAAACAAACAAAAAACTTTTAAGCTGAAGATGCTGGTCACAACATCCAGCAAAAATTTCTTAAAAAAAAATAAATTTAGTATCGAGAGAAAATATATATATATATATATATATATATATATATATATATATATATATATATATATATATATATATATATATATATATGTATATATATATGATGTATATATATATATATATATATATATATATATATATATATATATATATATATATATTATATATATATATATATATATATATATATATATATATATATATATATATATATATATATATATACAGGGCTTGTGACGAATAAAATCGTCAAGCGTGTTATATCGTGCTCGTAAAATTAAAATATGTTTTCATCGAGCGTGATTATGTGCGCTTGAGATAACGTCGACGAGCGCGATCATGAAAATTGCTGAAGAAGATCTTTTTTTATTTGTTACATCATTCTTTCGTTGACAAATGTTATAATTAGTATCACACTCATGAAATAACACTCTTGTATATTGTCAGATCGGGATTTTTTTTTAACTATTTATGTTATAAAAAAAAAATATCAAACAAAAACGCAACTTCTTGTTGATTTAGTATTGAAGTATAATTTAGTGACTTTTTTATAATTTAGTGCCTTTTTTTGTTTCGTTGTTTTGATATATGTATTTAAAAATAGTTTTTATATTTCTTGATATTTTTTATTCAAATTAATTTATTTCTAAAATTTCTTTTTTAAATTATGATTTTTTTATCTTAAAAAAATAACACAAGAAAGTTTGAAAATCTTTTTTTTTTAAACTATTCATTATAGGTTAAAATAACAGATTTTCCCCTCAACTGTTGTCAACGGTGTTTCCTCTTCTACATTTTCGAAACTGAATGCAGCTAATTCGTCACTCATATCTTCATCAGCACTGTCTATTTCATCATCTTCATCAAAAATTTGATTTGTAATCAATGTTGTTGCTGGTGTCCTATAGTCAACTTGATTATCATCAACTTGAACCACTCGTCTCTTATTCAAATAAATTTCTTTTGCTCGTATTTTAATCAGGATTATTTCTT